AAAGAGCATCAAAGGGGACGCCCTTAGAATAGCACGAGCTCGCCGCCAGCTCCTGGGAACAGGAGCGCACGAGTGTGTTACTTCTTACTGAGCTGCACTGGTCGAGCGTGTGGGCCAGGTACTATTCGTGGAATCCTGACAGCTGTCTCCCAGTCCAGTTAGCAGGAGGAACCCCGTCCTGCAGATGAGAAGATTGTGGTGACAACAAATGCACACGTATTGTTCATCAGTGTTCGCGCGGGAGACCACGGCTGGCGAGCAGCGGGGCTGAGTTGAGTTCGGGCCCATTAGCACCATGCGATTCCGTCTCCCTGTGGTGTGACTGGGCTACTCACATGCAGGCTCTTCACAAGACTCATGAAGAATAGGTATTGTAAAAGAGCCACATGGATTTCCAAGTTGTTTCCACCAAACTTCTATTGTAATTCCATTTTTCTATGAACTTTTGGGAGTGTCTTTCATGTATTTCTTTTTATTATGAATTTTTTGAAACTCAAAGAGAGCTCCATCCATTGGTTCAGTCTCCAAATGCCTGCAATGGCCAGAGGGTGGGCTGTGGCTGGAGCCAGGAGCCTGAAACACAATCTAGGTCTCTCATGTGGGAGGCAGGAACCAGGGTTTGCTTGGGCTGGAGTGAGAAGCTGTAACCGAGAATCAAACCCAGGTAGTGGCTGGTGCTGTGGCATAGTGGGCTAGGCCTCTGCCTGTGGTGCTGGTATTCCGTATGGGCACTGGTTCATGCTCCAGCTGCACCTCTTCCAACTCAGCTCTCTGCTATGGCCTGGGAAAGCAGTGTAGAATGGCCCAAGTGCTTTGGCCCCTGCACCCACATGGGCGACCCACAGGAAGCTCCTGGCTCCTGGCTTCGGATCAGCCCAGCTCCAGCAGTTGTGGCCATTTGGAGAGTGAACCAGCGGATAGAAGACCTTTTTCTCTGTCTCTCCCTCTCTCTATCTGTAACTCTACCTCTCAAATAAATAAATAAAGTCTTAAAAAATATCAAGGTATTCCCACATGGGATGCAAGCACCCTAAATGCGAGGCTAATTGCCCAGCCTTTTATTATATTTCATCTTCCAGTTTATGATTCCTTGGAACACAGATTAAAATGGAAAACACTGGGGGCTGACATTGTGGCATACTGGGTAAAGCTACCATCGGCATTCTACATGGTCACCGGTTCATGTCCCAGCTGCTCCACTTGTGATCCAGCTCCTCACTAGTGGCCTGGGAAAAGCAATGGAAGATGGCCCAAGTGTTTGGGCCTCTGCCACCCATGTGGGAGACCCAGATGAAGCTCCTGGCTCCTGACTTTGGCCTGGCCCAACCCTGACCATAGCAACAAAGAGCAAGTGAACCAGCAGATGGAAGATTTGTCTCCCTCTTTGTAAGTCTGACTTTCAAATAAATAAATAAATAAATCTTTAAAAAATGCACTCAATATAATTCCCATTTACTGAAATTTACTGATCTTTGTTTAAAATAAAGCATGGTCAATGCTTAAGAGATGTTTCCAGAAAATTGCAAAGAAGCTACAGTATCTGTCTTCAGAGCACAGACACAAATATAACTCTACTGAATCAATTTTATTAAGGTATTCATATCTTTTATACCCAGCTTAATAAACATTTTCTATAAAAAGAGCAAACGACCCAGGTTTGTGGGCTGCACCGTCTCTGCTGCCACTGTCAGCGCTGCCACTGAGGTGCAAAAGCAGCTGGAGACAGTGTGTAAATGAGCTGTACGTGCGGCTATGTTTCAGTAAAACTTCATTTTCGAAGACAGCAAGTTGGCCAGATTTAGCCCACAGACCATTGTTTGCTTATCACTGTTCTACATCATCATTTTCATCAACCTGATCTGTCAGGCAATGAGAAAGATGCACTGAACTTTGCAAGAACATCGTGCGTTTTGGATTTCTCCCTCTTTGTATCCGGTCCTTCTCTGTCTGTGGGGTTCCATGCTCTGATACTTGATGCAAAAGGGTTCAGAGTGGGACTGGCGCTGTGGCACAGTGGGCTAAGCCTCTGCCCGCGGCACCGGCAACCCATGTGGATACCGATTCATGTCCTGGCTGCTCCTCTTCTGATCCAGCTCTCTGCTATGGCCTGGGAAAGCAGTAGAGAATGGACCAAGTGATTGGGTCCCTGCACCCACGTGGGAGACCCAGAACAAACTCCTGACTCCTGACTCTGGATTGGCCCAGCTTCAGCCATTGCAGCCGTTTGGGAAGTGAACCACTGGATGGAAGACCTTTTGCCCTGTCTCTCCCTCGCTCTCAAATAAATAAATAAATCTTTTTTTTTTTCTTTAAAAAAAAAGGGGGTTTACAACAGTTACACTTTCCTACGACTCTCAGTCTTTACCACTGCAGAATCATCTCTGTGTCTTGTTGAAGGTTTCTGGGAAGTGATAAGCATACTGAGGTTTTCATGAAATCTTATACATAATATGGGAAAATATTTGGAAAGAAAACACAAAATAAGACAACAAAATGAAGATTCATGACAAGCTCAAGAAGTTCAACTGGAATAAATTCACCTAGCAAAGGATGAATAAATTCATCTCAGCATGTGGCAAACACCAAGGCCCTGTCTACAAGACAGGTGTGTGACAGAGCGTGCTACAAGTGGCTTCTCCAACACAGGCTCTTTATCTGTCTTCTTAAAGCTATTTTCCTTCCTTTTAATACCTCTTCCTATAAATCTAAGTACTGCCCTACATTTCACACATCCTATCAGTTAATTTTACTTCATATTTAATGGAATCACTTTGAGTCTTCTCTCTTGTTCACAAGAGCCTGATTGGTTTCTTGCCCTTCGCCTATGAGCGGGCTATGAGGATTTAGCCCTTATCCTCTAGAGTGGACTCACGATAGGGCAACTGGCACAGCCGTTGAGAGGCCACACAGGGCACCTGCACTGCATGCTGGCCTGGCTGGCTTTCAGGCTGAGCTCTGCTTCTGACTCCAACTTCCTGCTAATGTGCACCCTGAGAGCAAGCAGGTGATGGCTGCAGTGCTGGGCTGCTGCCGCCCATGTGGGAAACCAGGATTGAGTTCTGGGCTCCAGGATGCTGCCTGGCCCAGCTCCAGCTATTATTTTTTTTAAAGACCTATTGATTTATTTGAAATGGAGAGTTACATAGAGAGAGGGAGAGATGGAGAAAGAGAGATCTTCCATCCACTGGGTGACTCCCCAGATGGCTACAATGGACTGCGCTAGACCAGGCCAAAGCCAGAAGCTTCATCTACCGCAAGAGTGGCAGGGCCCCAAACACTTGGGCCATCTTCCCTGCTGCCTTCCCAGGCACGTTAGCAGGGAGTTGAGCTGGAAGTGGAAAAGCGGGACATGAACTGGTGTCCATGTGGAACGCTGGCATCACAGGTGGCAGCTTAACCCGCTACACTGTGATGCTGGTCACCGGCTCCAGCTACTGTGGGCATGTGGAGAGTGAACCAGTAGATGGAGGATCTCAGCCTATCTGTCTCTTTATGCCTTTCTTTTTTTTTATTTTAATTCTATTTATTTATTTATTTATTTATTTATTTATTTTTTGACAGGCAGAGTGGACAGTGAGAGAGAGAGAGAGAGAGACAGAGAGAAAGGTCTTCCTTTTGCCGTTGGTTCACCCTCCAATGGCCACCGCGGCTGGCGCGCTGCGGCTGGCACACCGCACTGATCTGATGGCAGGAGCCAGGTGCTTCTCCTGGTCTCCCATGTGGGTGCAGGGCCCAAGCACTTGGGCCATCCTCCACTGCACTCCCTGGCCACAGCAGAGAGCTGGCCTGGAAGAGGGGCAACCAGGACAGAATCCGGCACCCCGACCGGGACTAGAAGCTGGTGTGCCAGCGCCACAAGGCGGAGGATTAGCCTAGTGAGCTGCGGCGCCGACCTATGCCTTTCAAATAAATAAAAACATATAGAAATTAAACTGAAGTCATTCTCCATGAGTTTACGTGAAGTTCTACAGCAGAGATCTCTCCCCTCTGTCAGGGCCGTGCCCAGCAACCTGGGGTGTGGGCCTGTTCCCTTACTTCTCTGTGATCCTCTTGGTCAGGTGTTGGGGACTGCTTTACCCTTTATTAATACAACCAAGTCCTGACGGATTATTTTCCTTTTTTCTTTCTCCCACAGTTGAACCAAATCTTTACTTGCTGAGTAAAACTAGTTCTATAAAATTATTCAAACAAACTGCATTTCCTTCTTTGACCCACAGAAAAACGTCAGTGGTCTTGTGTACCCTCACCTGGTTTTTTTTTTTTTTAATTTAATTTCACTTTTTACATCCCATTCCTGTTGAGACTGAGGGACTATTTGCATGCCAAGTCTAACTGCAAAATACTTTTTTGAAAGGACACCAATTCCCATCCTTTCCTTTTCCTTCTTGAAATTCATTTGCTGACTTTTTAACCTCACATTCATTAAAAAATTAATTGCATTTCAGAGTTTTTTTTTTCCCTTACTCAAATATATATTTAGATACAGGATGAGTTACCTGGTTGAAAAATAAAGCAGAGGGGCCGGCACCGTGGTGCAGTGGTTATGTCAGCTGCAGTGCCCACATCCCCTGAGGGCATCGGTTCGAGTCTAGGTGGCTCTACTTCTCATCCAGTTCCCTTCTGATGCATCTGGGAAAGCAGCGGAAGATGGCCCAAGTCCTTGGTGCCCTGCACCCACGTGGGGGACACAGAAGAAGATCCAGGCTCCTGGCTTTGGCCTGGCCTGCCCCAGCCCCAGCCATTGTGGCCATCTGGGGAGTAAACCAGTCAATCAAAGATTATCTCTGTCTCTCTCTTTGTAGCTCTGCCTTTCAAATAAATAAATCTTTAAAAATAAATCAAGTAGAAACCTTGTATTTCCAGGCCATATAATCTTCTGAAAGTTCTTTTAGTTGGGATGGGAATCAAAACAACACAGAAACTCAGGATCCCACAAGATCCGAACAAAATGACGGGAGTACCTGCAGCGCACCGAAAGACACCAATAGGTGAGTGCTTACCAGCGGGATGAGCAGGCTGATGAGGTCGGTGAGTGGCCTGCCGAGCAGCAGCAAGTCTTCTGCGGCCTGAGTGTCCCCTCTTGAGCCAGACTTCTGAGCCTGGAACAGAGAGAAGAGGGAAAAAATGGGGTCTGGTGATGAGGCAGCATGGCTGTGGGAGACAGGTGCACCCAGACCAGCAGGAGGAAGGGGCCAGGAAAGCGACCGACCTTGAACCTCACAAGGTACTCTGCTCAGCTGAGGCCTGATGTTGAGTACAGAAGCTGCCTCTGCCACCAGCTCGGGCTATGCAGGCACAGCCAGGCAGCCCATCGATACCGCGGTAGCTGGACGATGGTGATGCCACACCTGCCGCAGTGGTAAAGCATTGCACACAAAACCTCTTTTAGAAAACGCACTTAGGCCGGCGCTGTGGCTCACTAGGCTAATCCTCCGCCTTGCTGTGCTGGCACACCGGGTTCTAGCCCCGGTTGGGGCGCTGGATTCTGTCCCGGTTGCCCCTCTTCCAGGCCAGCTCTCTGCTGTGGCCAGGGAGTACAGTGGAGGCTGGCCCAAGTGCTTGGGCCCTGCACCCCATGGGAGACCAGGAGAAACACCTGGCTCCTGCCATCGGATCAGCGTGGTGTGCCGGCCGCAGCGCACCGGCTGCGGCAGCCATTGGAGGGTGAACCAACGGCAAACGGAAGACCTTTCTCTCTGTCTCTCTCACTGTCCACTCTGCCTGTTAAAAAAAATAAAATAAAAATAAAAAATAACCGCACTTAGCCAGAGGTGAAAGAGCAGACTACAGGCCGCCCCACCTCAGGCTGGACTCCAGGGAAGGCGGGCTTCCTCCTGCACTTCAGGTCCTGGGTCAGAACTTAAGCTGCCTGCTTTGTTCTGTTCAGGACGTGGCTGACAGACACTTCCTGTTTCACAACGTGCACCTCTCTGGAGCTACGAGCGGTTGTGGCCGCCAGGAGCTGGGTGCTTCCCTCTCCCTGTGCCTCCCAGACCGACTTCATCAGAGAGGCAGCACTTTCTCCCAGAGTGCAAGCGTGCAGCACCATCCCAGGGGCCTGAACCATTCTGCATCGTGGATGTTTATCCCTTGCCTTCTGATGCACGACTTGACGTGGAACAGTGGCCTTTTCACTTGAACTCTTCACTCTTCGGAGTGCATTGATCCCCTCGTGGTAACGACACAGCAGCCTTAACAAATAAGGCCCCGGGCAGCAGTGAGGGGCGTGGGGCCATGCTCCCTTCCCAAATTCAGGAAAACGAGCAGGCAGGGCCTCAGAAGCACCTCAGTGTAACTCTTTCCTCCAGGACACCCAGTGGCCCCACAGAGTCTCAGAGACCCACACCATCCGCTGTCACCGCCACCAAGAGACGTCCAGGCCCTACCCACTGAATTCATGGACTCCCGACTTGCAAAGTTGCCAAGGGTTCCAGAAAGGGCAGACTGCAGCTTTGCACGAGAGGAATGCAGGAGAAATTTAACTCTCTGCACAAGACTATCAGCCCACAGTGGAAGGAAATTCTGTGAGGCAAAGGGACCTCTTGTGTAGATGCAGCATAATGACAGAGGCAGAGGACGGGGCCTGGCCCTCCTCCCAGCCTCTCCGCGACTCCTCTGCATCGTCCCATCTCAGGCCAGTGTCCTGACTCCGAGGTTGGTGGCCCTCTGCGTGCACTTGGCACAGGGCTCCTGTCTCTGCCATGACATCATCACACTGTCCTTCCCATCCGGATCCTCTGGTCTCTATCTGGGTCTGCTGATCCCTTTCCAGAACCCACCGCCCCGTCATCCCTGTGTGGCAACCGCAGCAGAAACGAAGTGTGGGTGGTGGGAGGGAGGAGGAGAGCACGGGAGTTGACTGCAAGCCTTCCAGTGGTGGGGACAAGGCTTGCAGGAGCAACGTGGAGGGCAGGTATTTCAGGGGTCGGGAATCTCACGAGGACAGGCCTGGGGCTGCTAAGGCACGGGGTGAGTCTAAGGTGTTCTTAGATAATGAGGCATCACTGAGGTTCTCATGCGAAGCAGAGATCCAATCAGGCTACGGGCTACGGTACGAAAGGCTCATCCACACTCAGCAACGTCACAGAGGACCCCCTGAAGATCAAATGGAGTCATCCCAAGTGGTGGACAGCCACCATGGACAGCCCTGAGTGTGCGACACTGAGAGAGGTGTAGTGGCCACGTTGCAGCCTCCCTACAGCACCGCACACCTGCAGGTCAGCAGCTGGTTTACCCCCTGCTTTTGGGAGCAGAACACGACCAGCTTCCCGACAGCACCTCAGCAAGGGCGGACGAGGCCCGGCCCGGGCGGTCAGGTGCAGCCTGGATGTTCACGTATTTGTCGTCCTCCCTCCCACTCCGTAGTGCCCGAAGAGCATTTTTCAGCCCCTGATTTTTGTACGTGCCGGAATTTTCCCTGCTAAACTGTGAACTCCCCAAGAGCCAGAACCCTCTCCCCTTCGTCCCCGCTGACGTGACAGATGCCTGGCCACCTGGCCCTATGCTAGGCTCATAGACATACAATACAACAACAAACTCCTGCTGGGAGTTAGGTCAGTAAATACCAACTGAGCGCCTTCCCCCATGGGTCAGGACACAAAACTGAGGTAGTCCAGGCCCAAGGGAACCCCTGTGTAAACAAGAGGGAGAGCACCCGTTTCGCACCCGGGCCGGGCACAGTGGGACGTTTCCTACGGACCTACAGTCACATACGTTTCATTCTCTCCTTTAAGTCTGCCCACAACCCAGCCAAGGCCTTCTCATCCTGACTTTACGGACGAGGAAGCAGACACTCAGCTGAAGTGGTTTGTCCAGGTCAGACAGGTACACGGCCGAGTGCCTGGGATGTTAATCCAGAGCGTCCCGGCCCACAAGGCCAATGTGCCTCCAGCGCATCCTTTGTCTTTGCTGCGTATCATCTGCACACCACACTCAGGGGGTTCGCCCAGGGTCGATCCTGAAGCAGAGGGCAGTTGGGGGAAGGGAGAACTCGATTCCAGAGAGTGATTGTCACGCTGCCACCTCTGTTCCCCAGCATACACACTCCCTGGAAAAGTGCATCCTAAATCCAAACACTCTGAATTATACTTTTAAACACTGCCATCCCTCAAGTCTCCTCTACTAAGAAGGTTCCAATTAGAAGTATACACAGGTGGGGCTGGCGCTGTGGCATAGTGGGTAAAGCCACTGCCTGCAGTGCCGGCATCCCATATGGGCACCGGTTCGAGATCCAGCTGCTCTACTTCTGATCCAGCTCTCTGCTATGGTCCGGGAAAGCAGCAGAAGATGGTCCCTGCACCCACATAGGAGACCCGGAGGAGACTCCTGGCTCCTGGCTCCGGATGAGCTCAACTCTGGCCATTGTGGTCATTTGGAGAGTGAACCAATGGATGGAAGACCTCTCTCTGGTTCTACCTCTCTCTGTAGCACTGTGTTTCAGATAAATAAAATAAGTCTTTAAAAAAATAAAAATAAAGAACTAAGTCACTGCATGAAAGAGAAAGAAATAAAGAAAAAGAGGGAGGTAGGGAGGGAAAGAGGGAAAGAGGGAAAGAGGGAGGGAGGGAGGGAGGGAGGGAAGACAAGAAAAAAACTGCGCAACTGCAGATCCCCCAGGTCCTCAGCAGCACTCTGCTGCTCGCGTGACATGACGACAGATGAGCCAACAGAAACAAGTTTGTACTCAAATGCAGTGACTCATCAGTAGTATGTGTTGGGACAATCTTGGAACTATTTGTTAAGCCATATTAGACAAGCTAAATACCGATCAGCCTAAGTGAGGGTGAGAGAGACCATTTATCACAAAGATGCACAGCAGAGACTAAGCAGAACGTAGGGATGCATTATTGGCTCTGCTACTGGGACACCGGGCAAGGTATCCAGGCAGCCGGCTTTCAACCGTAGCTTCTGCTGCGACACGACTGTGCGATACACATTTCTTGCAATTTCACCGGGACTGTACAGGCAACGCCAAACTCACGCCGGCTACAGCCTTTCAGCTGATATAAGCACCGCTGACTCAGTTGGTTAGAGAGAGCATTAAACCAAAGAGGCACGCGCAAGTCTCCTTAGAAGGAAAGTACTTTGTGAAACCCCATCTCTCGCCTTCCTTACAGCACGATGCCAAGGAAACACAGGCAAGAGTGGCATTTAATTCACAGCCGCAGGACACCTCTCTAGCCCTGAGAAGCATCTCAGTTCTACATTAAGGAGACTGAAGGAAAGGAGTGACCGTTTACATGTTGCGTGTGCGTGTGTGCATAGATCTATGTGTATGCAAACATGGCTGCCTGTGTGCCTGCACACGCACTGCTAAGCTCTCAGCCCACAGTCCCCAGGAAGCTCAGGCTTCCTGCTGCAGGCACGATGCAGCTCCTTCTCCAGCCAGGAAGAGACAGCAGACCACTTGGCCAGCCCTGGCGTGCACCTGAGGTGAGCGCTCTCCTCCGTGAGGGACAGTTTCTGAAGTGATGCTCAACACGTCCTGGCTTCCTCAGCCTCTTTTGCTTCCCCCTTACAATTGCCTTTTTTTTTTTTTTTTTTTACAGGCAGAGTGGACAGTGAGAGAGAGAGACAGAGAGAAAGGTAAAGGTCTTCCTTTGCCGTTGGTTCACCCTCCAATGGCCACCGCGGCTGGTGTGCTGCGGCCGGCGCACCGCGCTGATCCGATGGCAGGAGCCAGGTGCTTCTCCTGGTCTCCCATGGGGTGCAGGGCCCAAGCACTTGGGCCATCCTCCACTGCACTCCCTGGCCACAGCAGAGAGCTGGCCTGGAAGAGGGGCAACCAGGACAGAATCCGGCGCCCCGACCGGGACTAGAACTCGGTGTGCCGGCGCCGCAAGGCGGAGGATTAGTCTAGTGAGCCGCGGTGCCGGCTACAGTTGCTTTTAAAAGCTGCTTCATCATTTTATGAAAGTGTTCGATTCACAGGCCTTACTTGCAGATCCCTAAGAGGTACAGCGCAATGTACGCACAAACACTGCACAACCTGATCCAGCCAGGAAAGCAGCCTGTCCCTGCCCTCCTCTTTTGGGCTTGGAGCCCAGTGAATGATATGTTTCTTGTTTTTTTTGTTTTTTAATTATAAAAATACAACCACAGTTGGAGGCAGATGAGCGGGAAGCCCGTGGAAGGGGACAGGTGGCCTGGAGCGGGGCTGCTCTACCTGCAAGGCCAGGCGCACGATGGCGGACGTGTACGCGAGCATGCCGTGCAGGATCTCCAGCAGAGAGAACAGCAGCGCGGCCGCCGTCTCCGCGTTGTGCGTGTGGTCCGTGTCCAGGCACAGCGCGGCGGCCGTGGTGAACAGGTGGCAGACATGCGTGACGAGACCTGAGGGTAAAGCAGAGAGAGAGAATAATTCACCGAGGAGTATGGAAACCAGGAGTCAAGGGCGCCGAGGAGACAGGCACCCGACTGGATGGGGCATGGACGCCTGGCAGTACTCAGACTGCACTGTTACTCGATCCACTTGGAAAGGCTGTCTACACTGCCGGCTTCCAGGTCTCACGCCCAGACAATCTGTTCAGGGACCTAGGAACGTACTTGTAAAAGTTCTGCAGGTGATTCTGTTGCAAGGGCTCCCAACACCACACCTTGAGAAACACAGCCCTCCGTGCACAGGGTCCCCAGGGTCTGAGGACTCCCTGTCACTGGAGCAAAGTGTGTCGCATGTGAACACGAGGTCCCAGGGTCTGTGCGGAGGCAGCTATTGGGGACCAGGCTGGACACGGCAGTCTGGTCTCTCATGGGCTCTGCAAATAATTAAGTGGATTCCATAGGATAAAGCAAAGAAGCTATGTTTTCCTCATGTGCTTAGAAGATGTAAGGTTAATTATGATTTAAAGAAATCTGAAATTGGTGAACTGCCGGTTAGTTCTATCATCCTGTCTCTGCAAACATTATATTGGGGCTGGCACTGTGGCGTAGTGGGCTAAAGCCTCTGTTCAAGTTCCCGCTGCTCCTCCTCCAATCCAGCTCTCTGCTCTGGCCTGGGACAGCAGCAGAAGATGGCCGCCAAGTCCTTGGGCTCCTGCACCCCCGTGGGAGACCCTGGCTTCAGATCGGCCGACCTCCGGCCACTGTGGCCATTTGGGGAGTGAACCAGCAGACAGAAGACCTTTCTCTCTGTCTCTCCCTCTGTCTGTAACTCTGCCTGTCAAATAAATAAAAATCTTAAAAAAAAAAAAAAAACCTTTATATTATATGGTGTACTTGGAGTTCACCGTCTTTTAATGTGCTGGCATCTGTCACAGCAAAGGGCTTTCTGCATTTTGAGGCAGCACTGTTTATCTTAAGTTGGCATTTTCATTGCTACAGTTATTTAGCATTGCCCTTTGAAATAAAAAATATATCAGATATAAACGTGGTGAAATGAAATAATGTTATAAACCTAAAGTAATGAATGGGATGTTTACAGTATGAACCTAACTGTTCTTAAAAAAACCATTCTTTGGGGCCGGTACCATGGCGCACTAGGTTAATCCTCCACCTGCGGCGCCAGTTATAGTCCCGGTTGCTCCTTTTACAGTCCAGCTCTCTGCTGTGGCCCAGGAGGGCACTGGAGGATGGCTCAGGTACTTGGGCCCCTGCACCCACAAGAGAGACCAGGAAGAGGCACCTGGCTCCTGGCTTCGGATCGGCGCAGCGCCGGCCGTAGCGGCCATTTGGGGAGTGAACCAATGGAAGAAAGACCTTTCTCTCTCTCTCTGTCTATAACTCTGTCAAATAAATAAAAAAAATAAAAAATAAAAAAAAACATTCTTTAAAGGTAATTATTTTGAGGCTGGCATTGTGGTACAGCGAGTTAAGCAACAGCTTTTGATGCCAGTGTCACATATTGGAGTGCCAGTTTCAGGCCTGGCTGCTCTGCTTCCAATCTAGCTTCCTGTTGATATGCCTAGGAAGGCAACCCGGGATGCACAGGTGCCTAGATCCCTGTCACCCACGTGAGACACCGGGATTAAGTCCCTGCTTCCTGGCTTCAGTCTGGCCCAGCCCCAGACACTTGTGAACAAACAGATGGAAGAGATTTTCTCTCTCTCTCTCTCCTCTCTTGAATAAATATTCTAAATAAGCAGATAGGGGAAACATGTAAGAAATGTGCTGAGTATCTAAAGTTAGATTGTTAAAAAACTGCATTTGTTGATTTAAAAGGCAGAGAGAGAAAAGGAGGGAAGGGGAGAGGGGGGAGAGTTGGGAGCAAAGGGAAGAAGTGAGAGCAAGAGACCCCTCCCCGCTCTTGCTGGTTCACTCCCCAGATGATGGCGATAGCTGGGAACTCAATCCAGGCCTCCCACATAGGGACCAAGAACTCCACTACTTGGGTCATCACTACTGCCCCATTAATGAGTGCCTTCATTAGCAGGAAGCTGGCATCAGGAGTGGAGCTGAACCTGAACTTGGGCACTCCAGTATGGGAGGTGGCATTCCAAGCAGTGCATTAAGCAGTGCGGCAAATGCCCGCCCTGGAAATTAGGATTTTACTGGGCCTGTCGTCCATTTGTCCATAGTGCCCAGGTTATCAGCTGGATGGAACATCAGCCAAGCAGTTTCTCTTCCATGCAGTGTACATTGTCACTTTAAGCAAACCAGTCCAGTTTCTCCAGGGAATGTAAGATAATTCTCAGACTACAAAAGTCACTAATTTTGTCACAAACGGCAGAGACACACAAAAATCAGAGGCACCGTTCAAAGCTGCACTCCTTGTGGCAAAAACAGGTATAATGCACACAACTGCCAAGATGCTGAAAAAAGAAGGAAAAAAAAAAACCCAAATGAGTCTGAAAGTTGAAGATAAATACACTTGAAGAGAAAGTAGGCTGCATCCTTGCCAAAATTTCCTTATCCAGCGACAAGGTCTGACAGCACACACCACCACTGACACACGGTGCCGGAAAGCAGTGACGAGGACGTGTGCTTCGTGCCGCCGGCCACTCTCCTCGGGGCTACTGGGCATCACTCACAGAGAACCTGTGAATCAGCACCTGGCGCCCCTGAGCTGCCGCGAGGGCACAGACTCTAAGGGCCGTGTCAGGCGTGTGTTGCCCGGGAAGATAATTTCCTTGTGGGGCTCGCGGTGACTTTCAGACACATCTCGGGATAGTCGGAGGGGAAGGGGCGGAACCCAGCTCTGTGAGCAGCAGAGCACACGGCTCTCCCAAGGACAGCGGTGGGTCCCTGAGCCCCCGTCCCATGCTCCACCTGGGCAGCTGCGTTCCTCCTGATCTTCAGTCTTCCGGAACAGAGTGCGGGGAAGGATGAATGGGGCTAAATTCCTGCTGCGATGCAGAGCCCTTCCTTGCTGCTGGGGGACAAATGTGTCCTAGGGCCAGGCAAGGGAAGGGACCAGGTGAGACCTAAGACGACAGCTTCACCAGCGCGGCAACACCAGCACAATCTACGAACGTCCTGTCTTAAGCCGTCCATCTCAGCCATATTCTCCATGTTCTTCAGAGCCACAACATACTCTTCTGGGTCAAAATGTATGGTTTTCGTGTTTTAACCTCTTTGTAAACGTGCTCATGAAACTTGTTAATGATTATCCACATTGTGCCAGGCTTTAACTGTCTGATTTTTTTATTTATTAAAGCAAATATTAGACAGCAACTTATTTCTTCTGCAAATACTTCTTTACTCTCAATTACAATATTACCACTTCCTAAAATTAATATATTTTTTAAAAAATTAATGAATTTAGGAGGCAGAGAGAGACAGGGAGAGGAAGAGAGAGACATTAGAGAAAGAGAAACAGACAGCTTCTATCCATTGTTCACTCCCCAGGATTGGACCAGGGTGAAACCAGGAGGAGGGAATTGAATCCAGGTCTCTCATGTCAATTGTAGAGACCCAAGCACTTATCTCCCAGGATGGGTATTATAGGAAGATAGCATTAGGAGCAGAGCTAGGGCTTGAACCCAGACACTCCAGTATGGAATGTGGGCAGCCCAACTCGGGACCATTAGACCAAATGCCTACCCCATTCTTAATATGCTGACACATGGTGGGTGTTTAAAATCCCTCAGTGATCTGAAAGCTGTCTTTACAATTCGTTTCTCTGAATCAGAATGTAAAACAGCTCTACACACTGTGTTTGGTTGTGGCCTATAATCTTTAACAGTCCTTCCCCCACCCACAATTGTTGTGCCATTTATCTATTACAGGAACTAGAGCTTTTGTAAAAAATATACTTTTTCATGGTACTGTTCTTGTATCCCTTTATTTGTGTTTCCTGTAACTCCGTAATTCCATCTAGAGACTCAATTTAATTTGGTGCAATTCCTTTGCTAATCATACTTTGGGCTGGGTTCTTTGTATTATCTGTGGCATCTTATCGGAAAGCACACATGAGGGTACTTTAAAATCTTTGTAAAAAATGGAATTAAAAGATAAGTTTATTTTGGTGCAAAATTCTTCTTAAAATCCATGCATAATGTTTTTGTAATGTGAGCTCTCCATGAACTTTTAAGGATCTTTTGTAGATACACATTTAAAAAATTTTATACCAATTTTAGTATATGTGCAACAGATAAAGGGTTGATAACCAGAATCTACAAAGCAATCAAGAAACTTCACAACATCAAAACAAACAACCCACTTAAGAGATGGGCCAAGGACCTCAATAGACATTTTTCAAAAGAAGAAATCCAAATGGCCAACAGACACACGAAAACTGTTCAAGATCACTAGCAATCAGGGAAATGCAAATCAAAACCACAATGAGGTTTCACCTCACCCCGGTTAGAATGGCTCACATACAGAAATCTACCAACAACAGATGCTGGAGAGGATGTGGGGAAGAAGGGACACTAACCCACTGTTGGTGGGAATGCAAACTGGTCAAGCCACTATGGAAGTCAGTCTGGAGATTCCTCAAAAACCTGAAGATAACCCTACCGTTCGACCCAGCCATCCCACTCCTTGGAATTTACCCAACGGAAATTAAATTGGCAAACAAAAAAGCTGTCTGCACATTAATGTTTATTGCAGCTCAATTCACAATAGCAAAGACCTTGCATCAACCCAAATGCCCATCAACAGCAGACTGGATCAAGAAATTATGGGACATGTACTCTATAGAATACTATACAGCAGTCAAAAACAATGAAACCTGGTCATTTGCAACAAGATGGAGGAATCTGGAGAACATCATGCTGAGTGAATTAAGCCAGTCTCAAAGGGACAAATATATGTTCTCCCTGATCTTGACAACTAACTGAGCACCAAAGGGGAAACTCGATGAAGTGAAATGGACACTGTGAGAAACAGTGACTTGATCAGCTCTTGTCCTGACGGTTGATGTACAATGTAATACTTTATCCATTTTAGTATTT